TTTCTTCTTGGCACATTCTTTTTTTCTTTTTGCTCTCTGTCTTGATTATTTCCCTAATTATCTCATTTCAATCAACATTCCCTTGTTGTCTGCATTGTTTACTGTTTATACTGCTTTTTCTGCATTGTTTGCACTGGTTGTTGATGTTAATACTGCTATTTTGTTATATTACACAGCCTTATGCTGGTCTACTGTTTGCACATTGAGAGCCGATGTACCTGAGTCAAATTCCTCGTGTGTCCAACACACCTGGCCAATAAAGCTGATTCTGTTTCTGATTCTGATTTGTTTACTCGTTGCCTTATTGAACAACACTGTGCCAGAGTCAAATTCCTTGTGTGTTCAACGTACCTGGCCAATAAAGCTGGTTCTGGGGATTCTTATAGAACTGTTTGTCCTGAAAGTATGTTTACCTGAACTCTGCTTCACCTAGATTTCATTGCCCTCCAGTGTTTTATTGATTGTGGTCAGGAGAGTATTGTGGAATAAAACAAAAGAAATTGCAATAACTAGTTAGTAAAAGGTTCTCCTGTCACCGAACAGCAAACCTGTGTGCATCCTCTGAGGTGCTGTGCACTGATTGCCTCAATGCCACTGTGGCTTGTTGATCCTCACCCTCCTCCTTTCCTTCTTTTTTTCTCTTCAGATTTGATTCAGTGCACAAATGAGATGAATGTGAACATCCCTCAACTGGCTGACACACTGTTTGAGAGGACCACCAATACCAGCTGGGTGGTTGTCTTCAAGTCTCTCACCACCACACACCATCTGATGGTCTATGGCAATGAGGTCAGGACCTAAGTAACATGTTTTCCACATTTGATGAATTGGATGGAGACTTAAGGGGTTAAGGATGTTTTTTGTTAAGTAGCCTAACTTCTGAAGGTTTCAACCCTGTACATTGACACAAATGGCTGCATGCAATATGAAAACACTTGGAATCACCTCATCGTAGTGCACTAAATATTACATGCCCACAAGTAAAGCTGGTCATTGCACAACAGTTGGTTAAAGGTCACTTGTTGTAAATGCCACTTTTTTTTTAAAATTTGATTTGATTTATTCTATCAAACATGTAACGACAGTCAGTATGTCAACACACATAATTTCACACATATCCACAAATGCATTATCAATTTGCTTATACCTAGTACATGCTTGAACGGAGTAGGAAGAGGTTAGACTTACAGTATTGTTCAAAATAATAGCAGTACAATGTGACTAACCAGAATAATCCAGGTTTTTAGTATATTTTTTATTGCTACATGGCAAACAAGTTACCAGTAGGTGCAGTAGATTCTCAGAAAGCAAACAAGACCCAGCATTCATGATATGCACGCTCTTAAGGCTGTGCAATTGGGCAATT